CTTTACCTCTAAAATGAAATATTTATTTTAATTAACATTTTTAGTAGTTCAGTGCTTCAGCCGTGTCTTTGAATACTAATACTTAGTTCATCGAAAAACCACAACTATGCGGAAAAAAATCAAGTGAAAATATTTAGAGCTACCAGAAAACTCATAACTCTGGCGTGTGCTGTAAAATACTTACACCTATTTACAGTATGTACTACATCAGCTTTTACTAAGTATGTTTACGTAGTATAGTAAGTATGTACTATAAGTACCAGTATACTTGTTTAAAATTATTTGCACAGTTACAAAACTTGTCTATAGCGCATCTGTCAGTGTGCACACAATTCAACGACAAAAGTTATTTGGTAGACGTTTATTTAGTAAATAGAACGTTTTCTCGCAGCAGCTTGCATAAAATTAATTTAATTGTTTTTAGAAGCTCACAACGAAATTCATTTTCATATTCCGAATTCAAATTTGAAATTCAATTCTAATTTATATATATATTATTATTATTATAAATTTGAATTTGGAATATAAAACTGAATTTGGCGGTCATTATTTATATGTATAATTAGAAAAACACATTGGACGTTACCATGTTTTATTTATTATAAAAAGTGTTTATATTTTCATAATTTTAATTTAAATGACATGTTGTCGAGGTATTCAATTACATTATTGTGATCGATGAGACATACATCTATCGTTGTTGAACTCATAAAATAAAGTCCACTTTTTTCAAACGAAAGCCGATAGAAATCCTACTCTCCAAGTTTTTTAATTTGAGAAACTTGGTAATGATTAAAAGCGTTTATGGAGAGCAGTTGGTCTACTAATTCTACTATGAAGATTTATCTGTCCGGTTTATGTGAAGCACGTTTATGAAGTGAAGTTATTAAAATACTAGTTAGTAGTTAGCCGTTTTTAAATTGAAAAAACCTTGATGTTTTTTTTATTAATATTTATAATGGCAACTAATAGACATAGACTGCTATTTACTAGTTTTAAACTAAGCAGAAAGAGAAGGTTATCCTTTTTATCAAATGCGGCGTGCGGTGCATTTTTTCAATAACGTTAAATTCATTCTTCCTTCCTCTATTACATTCCTGAAATTGAAAAATAATGTGTAATATTTTCATGAGTAGCAAGTATGGAAATGTTATCTTTGCTACATGAGTTGCTTCTGTGCCTTTTTTAAATAGATTTATCGGATAATAATTTTCTGGATAAAACATGAAACATGAATATAACAGATATATGTTATTCATGTTTTAACTATGTTTAAGTCATAACTCTAGAAAATACTCTAGAACTCTTGTGATTCTACATAAGAAGAATAAACAAGAAACTTATGTGTTGGTATGTTAAACAATCCTTGTAAGTTCACATTTTACAAGTCGAAACGTGTGAATACAAACTACCAACCAGCACTAATTTATTTAGGCTCAAATATAAAAACACAATAAGATTAAATCAGTCGTAGTAATAAGAGCAGACCAGTCCCTACAAGTACCTACCTACTGTGGAATTCTTCATAACTTTTTATACCAATTCCCGTTATTGACGCGATTGATTCGATTGATTTCTATACAGAAAACCAGATAGCAATAGATTATTACGGCGTCAAAGTTCTGATCTAGTCCTACAGGTTCCTACATAGAACATCCAAGATTAGAATTGTTCAGATTTTATTCTAGTTGCTAGCTGGACGATATTTTATTAAGAGCATTAAAGCTTTATTAAACAATTATTTTAAACAAATTTTATCTCTAAATTTATTGTCAAGCTAAACAAGAATTAATTTTATAGATTATGAATTATCAGAAATTTCAGAATTCTTCTAAACTTATACATTATTTTTACATAAGTAGGTATATAATCGAAAACAAATTAGTCATAAACATGTCAACAAAATGATAATTATGGACATTGTGACGATATGTAAATCGATAAGGTTTATTAATTGTTCTATATTGTTATCTAGATCTATTTTAATATTCACACATGTACGTAGCACAAGGCCACCCCATATGACTTCACGCTTCATTTGTTTGTATTCCTCTTGCGATATCCTGTAAGCCTAGTACAATAGGAGCAGCGTGTGTAGATAGACTAAGAAAACCTCATACACGTACAGCAACATCGAGACAAGTCGACTTGCTAACCCTATTCAATACACCTACGCTAGACGTAAACCCGTTTGTCATCTCCCTCCTTTCCACATGTTAGAACGAAATGGTCATAAGGATCATAGACGAGTACGTATGTGTTCGTATATGCTCTGGATACGCGTACCATTGGGAACGCTAGGCTAGACCTACTCGCGAGTTCTTATATCCTAGTACTTTCTAAGAACATCTAATACTATGAGGATTTCTAATGCATTTTAGAACCACAGGTTTATTTAAATTTGCCAGTTAGGTTTTATTATGTATTTAAACTGATTGAATTAGGCAATAATTATAGTTAAACTATAAATTATGATAATATTATGAACATACAAGTAAGTAGCTTGTAAATGAAACACATGTAATAAAATTATTTGATCATTTATCATGCGTACATGAGATTTTTTTTATTTGTTAAGAGTATCCAACGAAGTACACAAGTACAAATAGCAAATTCAGTCTTATGAAGATGGATAGAAAGTTGAATTTATTTGTATCCAGCTTGCAATGGTAAATTGTACATATTTAGAGATTTGCTGTTGTTTTTTTCTTGTTATATTTTTTTCATTGGAACGATTAAATAACAGAATTATATAAAATATTACAATGTAAATTTTAGGGTCGATTTGTTTGTTTACTGTATCAATCTGTAAAAGTACCAGGTATGTTTAAAAATTTCATTTTGCATTATGTTATTAATACAAAGATTCAATGATCAATTTTTAGTAGTCAATATTTAGGAGAAGATGATGGATGGTAGATGGTTGTGACCATTGCACCGATTTGAGAAATACTTTCATGTTAACATATGTTATAATTAGTTCATTAGTATCAACCGAAAATGGAGACAATTTAACATTTCAACAATTGAATTGATTATAAATTTAAAATATAAGAATTAAACGCCTAAATGGAATTAAACTAAATTTAATTATAGTAGAAGTTCCTAAATAATATACAAAATGAAAACAAAATTTAATAACGATTAAACGAATAACGAGTTTTCTAACAATAAATAGCATGTATAATATTTAAAAGAAAAAAGGAACTTAAAAAAGTTTAGTTTTCTATTATTAACACACATACTGTGTTTGTTTCGTTTGTGTCTATTGCATCTATGACGAAAATAGATTATTTTTAATTGAGTTTCAATACATTGTATCCTACCAATTGGAATCCAACAAGGATCAACAATTAATTGGATGTTTAAAAAATACGAAGCGAGTACATATGTGACATGAAAAAGCTTCTGAAAACAATTTTACTGAAGCTGAACAATTGAAATGGAACAATGACTTGATTCGTAAACGAGACAATTATCAATATCATGGTGGGCTTATTGCTACCTATTCCATTTGTATATTCCTATTTTTATGTTCATTGTTATAATACAGTTCAGAATATATTTTTATTATATTTGTTCCTTCTATCAAATTATTCTAACTCTGCCCACTTATATTTTGTTATTTTGTTTTCTTAAACCCACAGTTTCGGCTATGCGTCAATAAGCTAGACGCCATTTTTTCTTTTATTATAAAAGACTAAGTGTTATCTGCGATTTCGTTCAGGTGACTATGATTGAACGGGATAGATTTAATTTAAAATAACAACAACCGAATTTCTTACCATATATTTCTTAATATCAAGAAAAAGTAAAAACCAACGACGTAAGTTTATCGATTGAACTTTATTTTGGAATTAAACTATTTTTCGGAATGGCCAAATAAAGTATAAAAAAGAACATACGTCTCTCGAACGGGCGCACGTCAATAAAAATCTATCAATTTACCTAAACATAAAAACTTACTTTTCTATTAATAGTGCTATAACTTTAAAATAGTGAATTTCTATACGATGCTCTTTATATACGTCCTATCTCGCCTTTACTGCCGCTAACCAGCTGTTGAGCTTCAATTATCTATGATCCAGTGCGATATAGCCGCAACTACTGGGTACTGTCACTTAAGTCTGTGTCAAGATTCTCAAGTTACCTTACAATGGTTTCACCTTTGGTCTTTGGAAGTAAATCTCTTAAATCCCTGTGATCGTGCTGTAAATACATGATAAGAGAAACGGTAAACCATCTAATTTTCTAAAAGGTTTTTCGTGTTTTCCTGAAACGTTATCGGTACCGAGAGATGTAATACGTGTTAAGCGATTACTCTCACGGTGGTCACAATACGAAGAAAAGTTTCAAAATGAAATGCTAAGATAAGTTCTATTCAAATATGTTTATAAACTAATATTATATCCACATGAAAGAGCCAAATAATTGTGCATATAGTAAACATTATTTTAATGTATTAACATTTATACTCTTCATATAAGAAAATTTTATAAGGGATATTTTTTCCATAACATATTATATTGTACCCAGATGTCATTTACAATAAAAATAACATTATTATTCCATGATAAACGTAAGCACTTTATATTAATAATACATATGTATTGCCTATTCAATATTATCTTACATTATTAAAGAATATACAACACACTTAATAATTGTCCACTGCTGGACTTGGACAGGTCCTTATAAGAGAAAGGTTTTATTATACATAACCAGCCTGGTGACTTTGCGAAATATCTTATTTAAGTACCAATTCATATATTGTTGTGTTTTGTTATATTCGTCGCATTTTATGATATCTTGGTGATTAAAAATTCAAATATCCTTCATTTATTGTATTCTACATTATTATTATAGAGAGGCATGAGTTGTGCTTCACGCGGGTAGTACTATAAATACAATAAGTAATATATAATACAAGACAAAGTTATTTAGGGGAACAGTCGTTCAATATCGGTCTAATATATTGAAATGTTTAGAAAAAAACTTACCGATCGTTATACATGATGTAAATAATGTCCAAATCAACATTGCATACATTTTTCACAATTTCACTGAACTGCCGAGCTTTTATTGGTAAATGTTCGGTGTTTACGTCGCTTCATTTGTGACGTTGTCTGACTAGACTGTGTCATCACTTCACTTCACAATGTTACAAACTGTCCTATAAAACATCCACTGCATTTATGTGATCCGTTTAATCTGAAACAATAAATTTCACTATTATTTATGTCTTCTATATCCACTAATATATTAGCCGAGATTATATTTTGAAAGATGATAGAATTATATTTCTATCAATCTAATAATATTTGTAAGGACGTAGTCAATTCGTCAAGAATTTAAAACTAGTTATTCAAAAGGTAACGTGGGAAAGTGGTTGTGACCATCTAGACCCTTATTATAATTTCTGCTCTCTGACTTCTATTCACATAATATCATCGAGTCCCAAGCTACGCAGAACTTGTGTTATGGATACTAGACAATTGACATAGATACATTTTTTTGTAAATACATACATAATATACATAAAAAACAGCCAGACAAATACAATCATACTAATGAATACACATATTTATACTATGCGAGGAATCGAATCCACGACCATCGGAAGTAAGGCGGTAAAACATTGACATGACCTGGATACCATCTCAAATGACATTGCAATATAAATTTATGATCGAATACTAATAAATATTCGCGATGAAAGTAAGTAGACAATAAACTAAATTACGATAAAATAAAAGTACTTATCTACACCTTAATTTGAATGAATAAGCAAAATTTTCAGCTTTCTACAGTCAATATCGCTAATATTGAACATTACGATGGCACTGTAATGGCTATCGACCAATAAAACTATTGGAACATATTATGTGTAAGTTTGGAAAGTAGGAGGCATTCTACGTTGGCATCTTTCCATACAATTATTTGAAAATTCCGTTTTCTTTTAACTTTTCACGACTAAACTGCTGAACGCTGTTTAATGATATTTGATAGAAGGATAGATGTATTACGAGGATGACCGTAAGCTATATTGTAACCTCATAATTATATTATCTTTCTTAAATATGCCTATATGCCTGAAAAAATGTTATACGAGGAGGAGGTGAAGTATGTAATTTCGAAGGGGATTATGAAAGACGAAAAACACTTATAAGGTATATAGAGAAGGAATTCAGAATGCATTTTTTTAAATTATGCATAAAAATATATTAAATGAATAAAAAAACATTAGACATATTAATATGTATTAGACACATACATGCGTATATACTCTTTTGTTTACCCTGCGACTGTGCCTATAGATATAGAAGTGCCTTTGACAATAGAACCTTAATAATTAATATTCAATCTTATAATTTCAATTTATTATGGTCGAATTTCATCATTTGACATTTAGGTTTTACTAATTTCATCTATACTGTAGGCTATTTTTCTTGTAGAATAAAATCTTAAATTACTTTGGCTGAAGGGAATTTTTAAATAACTAATAAAAAGGCAAGCCCCTTAAAATTTATTGTAAGTATACCAGTTTTCATAGCTAAAAATATGTAATATTTTATTCTTCCTCGAAAGATTAGAATAGGAGAGTATTACAGATAGAGAATCGACAATAGAAAATTTACAGAAAATCTAAGCAAATCATCGATAAATTAATGAAAATTCACAATAACTTTCTTCAATGGGAAAGACTGTCAGTAATAGAGACTAGTGTCTCTATTGCTATCAATATACCAGGATAGTTCTGACCCCACCTGAAAACTATTATAGTTGACAAGAAATCTAGTGAATTTGTCGCAAGATATCAACTATGGTAGTTTCCAGCTGGCATTAATGACATGACCTAGTTACTTTGGAGTGATAGGTTATACAACTGATTTCATATTCATCCTATCATACTGCACTGATGCCCCGCCAACATATACAGTTAGTGATGTATGTAGTGATGATAAAATATCATTCCATGATAAGCAATTAAAAAAATTGATAGTTGAACTACTGTGTCCTTTCAAGCCTATAATGGTACAGTAGGGAGGATACATAAAAAGTCACATTCAATTTATATTAAAGCACAATCAAATATTGTGCATACAATTTATTCTTACATATTACCAGTGATGTTATATAATAACGCTAACTTTTAAAATGTCAGTGAAAGAGATAACAATATTCTTTTATTTCATTTTAATAGCAACTTTCTCTTATAGTGTGCGGCACTTGACGTGCAAGTCGTGTAACCACATTGTACAGATTTGCATCACAGCAATAATAATATGACAATACATACTCTCTCTATATACATGTAAGAAACTATCATAAATATAGATACATAAAGAAAAACAAACACTGTTATGACTGTTATCACAAATAGGGTAGGCAGCGACATTGCCAACTTTCCATTGTGCGGAGAAGGCAATTCTTGACATGGCGATATTTCGCTCGATATATTTGAATTCAACATGGCAGGGGGCGAGTTTGCTGTACTAACTTACCTATAGTCTAGATAGTAGATATACTCGTAAATATCATAAATATCGAATGGAACGTAGTAACCTGCTCCACTTATTTGTTTTCGTTTGAGCATTCGAAACTGGGGGTCTATTAATGCCCGATTATATTTATAATGTTAAGCAAAGCCTAAACTAAAATTCACTAAACGATTACATAAACGAGAAACGGACACGGCTGTAATTAATGCATGGGATTTCTATTTAATGTTCGACACCTTCATTAGTAGACAATATAAGTCAAACGGCTAAAAAATCGTTGAGTAAGAAACTCAATGATTTTTTTCAGTTCTTCTCAATTGAATAAATATACTGAACTGGAAAAAAACTTGAATAAATGATAGATAGATAGAATATACTTTATTTGCAACATACAGTAAAGAAGAAGCACAAACAAAATAACAAAAGACACATGTATCGTTACTATAAGGCGATTTGGTTTTATTTCATAATTCGCCGGCTCTAATAGGTATACCGTGATGTATCTGACTAGTCTATTTTTACCATCGGATTATACTACTATGATTCGTATCCTTATTAGAGTAATCCAGATGAAACTTTTTTTGGACCAAAAATACGTAGAATGAAACTTTAAAATACACTCTCACTCAATGGTGTCTATACCTATAGACTAAATGAAAATACAAAGCTGTCTATAATAATATAAACCCATTTTTAATTTACCTGTGTGATAGATTGAACAGTGATAATACTAATATGAAACTAACAGATGGAAGAAAGTGAACAATCATATAATGAATCATAAAAATCTATTCAATTTCTGGAAAGATTTCGTCCAATGTGGCCCACGACAGCATCGCTAGAGGATTACTTGCAAGTACATTTTCTTCCATAAAAATATAACAAGCAATTTGGACAATTATGTAAGGAAACAATACGAGAGAGATAAAAAAAATCCTGTCAATTTAAAAAAAATCGCTAGCGTTGGTTTAGTGGTTTAGCTCATGCCTTGCTTTCGATTGTCGCAGATTCGATTCCTTGAACGATAACATCATTTCATGAGTATGATTATTTGTATCCGTCTGAGTGTTTTATATATATGTTATGTAATTACTTACAAAAAAAAATGTGTACATATTTATATAAGTTGTCCAGTACACAAAACACAAGCTCTGCTTAGCTTGAGACTAGATGATGCTATGTGAATTGTCCTGAGAGTGAGAAGTGAGAGTCCCTACTATTTTAAGATATTAAGTCACCCATACAATACGTGCAATTTTGACGAAAATATTGCGTAACATACAATATAATACAATAGTTACACTCGTATTCACTGCAACTTTCTTTGGGCAGTCCATTGAAAAAGAGGTCACACGTAACAACTACCAAGTCTAGTCACGCGATACTCTACCGCCAGTATTTAGGACTTTGTTACAAGTTTGTTTGGAATTTTTCACACAAATTCCTGTAAAAGATAAAAGGAAGATGGACTGCTTAGTATAAAATACTTAACAAAATATTTCCGCAGAATGATGGATCGGAATTCTATAAGCACGTTGGTAGATAACAATAAGGAATGTATCTCAATTAGGTTAGAAAACAATCTTGTTTTGGTTGTACCTACCTAATACCACATACAAATAAATCCAATTCATACACAAAATATATGAAACTTGAAAAGTAAACAGTAGGCTTCAAAGTTCAAAGCAGATCTGGATAAATACACTGTAATAACAAAATAACAAAGACTTGAAAACAATTCGAACAGTGTAAACAAACCAATTGTAAGAAGGAATTTACTTATTCATGAATTTGAGAATATTTTACCACCAGTAAACGTATTTTTTCTGGACTTGCGTTCTTTGGAATACGGCTAATTAAATAACAATCTACGAAAACGAAGGTACGGGTAAAAGTAAATAATATCTAACATTTCTGAGGTTTATAATTCTACAAGGGACAGTTTTTTCGCACAACAAGACTGACAATCAAGTATATAAGGTTCTAACAGCGATCACATTAGTAGAATACTTGAAAAATATATGTTTTGAGTATTGTCGGCACAATTGTTCATATATAATGTCGTCTTACTATTAATGCTGTATTTTGCATGCATATAAAATAGAAATACAGCATGTAAGTTGATTATCGGTAGAAATTAAATTATTTCGTGGTCGGCTGGCATATTGGGCCTATCTACAATGTACCATAGATACTTTACGTATATAGACTTTGCTTACAGTCGATTGCGATTTATTATACCGCTTTACTTCCGATGGTAGCGAGTTCGACGAGCATGGTGCAAATATTTGCTCCATGAGTAGGATTGTTGGTGTATTCTACGTATTTACAAAAAAAAATATTTATACCAGTTTTACAGTAGTACAAGCTACTTAGCTTAATAGTATGCATTGTCTAGGGTAAATGATGTGGCCCTTGCCAATTTTAGCTTTACTGCTCATATGTAAAATTGTGTTGATATTTTAATGAAATTTTGTTCAAACTATGTCATGATCGCCTAGTTCTTTGTTTTACCAAGCCTATTAATAAAATGTAATGCTCCTAAAAATTGTGTTCAACGAGTTATTGCGTATCAATTTCCAGATGTTATATTTTGTAAACAGCAACGTTCATTTCAAACGTAAACGCCTATCAATTTTGTAGCTGTATTATATTGATTTTATCCGATGCCCAAATTAGAAAGGGTAGAAATAATTGTTCTAA